GTTCTAACAACGCTAGAATAAATTTGGTGTCGAGGGAGTAAGATTTGATTTCGATCAAAGGCCTAAACCCACAATGAATAAGATAGTTCGTAATGAGCGGGTCGTGTGGTATGTAATCATGCACACGACACCGAAACCTTGACACATCCTGCAGAATAATGAAGGTTACGTTAGAGAAGAAGTAAAATTACTATAGTTTTTTTAGACAAAATGGTAAAACATAGACATGAACAAAAGACTTACAAACTCAGCGATGTTTTCAGCCGTCCCTCTGTGAGAATCACCCATGGTTAGTAGAGACATTGTCGAGAGTTGGGAGTTTGAAAGTTTAAGAGTTTCAGACTTTGAGAGTTTGCGAGTTTGAGAGTAGGAGACTTTAAGTGTGAGTAGAATTTGATGGGTAAATACCCCATATTTATATTCCAAGAGTGGATATGGTGTAAGTGCATGCTTGACACTTGGCGTGAGATATGTGTTGTGTGAGTGCATGCTGAGCACTTGGCTTCAGCTATGTGTAAATGCAGTGTATTTTTTGTAAAAGGATGCAGATCACATGCGAAAAAAGAGATTCCTTCAGTGTAGCGTCTAATCAAACAGGCTGCATGGCATTTATTGTAATGCAGTGTCCCGTCTAATCAACTCCTGTTGCATGCAGAAAGCAGATGCTCGTAGGCCTGCATGGTCAATGTAGGGATGCATATCACATGTGAAAAAAGGAGATTCCTTCACTGTCTCGTCTAATCATACAGTGGTTCATTCATTGCATAGTGTGATTTTTTATTCATCATATTATATAATATTTTTATTCATCATATTATATAATATTTTTATTCATCGTAGTGTGATTTATTTCATCATATTATATAATATTTTTCATTAAACGTTTTGTGGTTCCTTCATTGCATATAATATTTTTATTCATCGTAGTGTGATTTATTTCATATTATACTATTTTCCATATTATACTTTGTTCATATTATGGAGCATGCGTGATAAATGAACATCACAAGTAAATGCAGAACTTTGCATTGTCACTTCATATCAAGTCTGTTGTTCATGTTATTGATTATGGAGCATGCGTGATAAATGAAAGGCAGGCAGAGATTCCTGACTTGAACATCACATGTAAATGTAGAACTTTGTATTGTCGCTTCATATCAAGTCTGCTATTCACGTTATTGATTATGGAGCATGCGTGATAAATGAAAGGCAGGCAAAGATTCCTGACTTGAACATCACATGTAAATGCAGAACTTTGCATGTCATTGATTATAGAGCAGACGGGACAAGTGAAAGGCAGAACTTTACTGATACATGCAAAAACACTAAGCCCATTTTATAAAGCCTTTATCAAACACTCAAACATTCAGAAACACGCAAAAACACTAAGCCCATTTTATAAAGCCTTTATCAAACACTCAAACATTCAGAAACACGCAAAAACATTAAGCCCATTTTATAAAGCCTTTATCAAGAAACTCAAGAAACTCAAACACACTAAAACACTAAAACATTGAAACACTCCATTATTCAAACACCACAATTTCCACAATGTCTCAAACACCACAATACATGATTTCCGCTCATATGAACGGTGAAGTTTTCGAATGTGAGGTCTTGGGATACACTTTCAGAAACACGGAGGTTACAAGATTTTTAATTGACAGAAGGTCTAATTTTTTACACCTGAAGTCAAGAATAGAAAAAAAACTGCAGTGCGGTCTAGTTGGCCAAATAATATACAAAAACCCAGTATTCTTTGGCGGACTTGATTCGTGCAAATTTTTTCCTTTAAAGGTGTGAGATGATGAAGACGTGTGTAACATGTTCCGCACTCACGAGTATTCAGGGTTCTCAGAAATCATGGTATACGTTACGTTACAACAACAACAACTATCTCGGCAAATTGAATCGTCACAAGTTTTTTGCGATTCTGAATAAGAACATCCTGAAGTCAATGTCGTTGACGAAGAAGAAGAAGCAACTGAAGTCATTGTTGACGAGATGGTGAATAATCCGGAGGATGAAGTTCAACCTGGCAATGTCTATTGTCCACCACAACACATGACAAATATCACCTTAGGTGATGATGAACCTCCAACGGATGTTTTCTACAACCCCAACTACACAACACAAGGGCAACTTAAAGAGGGTGACGAGTTTTGTACGAAACAAGATTGTGTCCGGGCTATCAAACAGTTTCACATGGAGTTGTCATCCGATTACAGAGTAGATCACTCAAATCCAACGCGGTATATGATCTATTGTCGTAACGAGGAGTGCCCGTTCAAATTAACAGCATCTTTCAGGAAGAGAAGCGGTTCCTAGAAGATAGGGTCAATGGGTCCGTCCCACAGTTGTATAATCTCGAATCCGATTCAAGACCATCGCAAACTCAACTCTAAATTGATTTGTGATGAGATTCTGTCAGTCGTTAGCGACAACCCATCTTTGAAGGTGAGCAACATAATTGCACATATGGTACAAAGGTACAACTACACTCCTTCGTAACGAAAAGCCTGGATAGCCAGGAATAAAGCTGTTGAAATGGTGTTTGGAAATTGGGAGGAGTCGTACAAGGAACTTCCTAAATTCCTGGCAGCCCTTAAACACTACTCTCCAGGAACTGTTGCGATATTGGAGACGATGCCTGCTTGTACACCAGACGGGAGTTATGTTGCTGGAAATGGAATTTTCCACAGATTCTTTTGGGCGTTCGGACCATGCATCAAAGGGTTTGCATTTTGTAAACCTATAATTCAAATTGACGGAACCTGGCTATACGGGAAATATAAGGGCACACTTCTGATGACTGTGGCACAAGACGGGAACAACAACATTTTCCCGATAGCCTTCACCATAATTGAAGGGGAAACTGCTGGGGGTTGGAGTTTTTTCTTAAAAAACCTACGCTCTTACATGTCCCCCCAACCTAACTTATGTTTGATCTCAGATCGACACCCATCCATCGAGAGTGCATACAACAACCACGAAAACGGTTGGCAGGATCCTCCATCGACCCACGTCTATTGCATAAGGCATATTGCCCAAAATTTCATGAGGGAAATCAAAGACAGGACGTTGCGGAAGAAGGTTGTGAACACGGGGTATGCACTAAATGAACCAACATTCAGATACTACCGTGACGAGATCAGACTAAACAACGCAGATGCATTAAGATGGATTGATGGCATTGATAGGGAGAAATGGACGCGGGCATACGACAACGGGGTGCGATGGGGCCACATGACAACCAACCTCGTCGAGTCAATCAATTCTGTTTTCAAGGGAATTCGAAACCTCCCAATAACTGCCTTGGTAAAGGCAACCTATTTTAGGATGAGATCACTCTTTGATAGCAGACGTGCAAAGTGGGGTTCGGTATTACAATCGGGTCAGCTGTACAATGATACTGCAATGAAATTCATGAAAAACGAAGCTGCCAAAGCCAACACCCACGTGGTCACAATTTTTGACCGTACAGCTGGTTGGTTCAGTGTTGCCGAGTCTATAGATCACAATGAAGGAAGGCCCAGGGGATGTTATCATGTTGAATTGGATAAAAGCTGATGTGATTGTGGAAAGTTTCAAGCATTCCGTATGCCTTGCTCTCATGTCATAGCAGCTTGTTCAAAGGCGCGCCAGGACCCAACCAACCTTCTTTCTGCAGTTCACCAAGTCATAAGTCTATGCAATGTCTACTCATGCAGTTTTCAGGTGGTGGCAAAGGAAGACTATTGGCCGGAATACGAAGGCGAAATTGTTTGGCATAATGACTTGATGCGCAGAAAGAAGAAAGGTCGGCCTAATAGCACGCGCATACGAACAGAGATGGATACCCTGGATAAGTAGTGAGATTGTGTAGTTTGTGTCGGCAACCAGGACACAATCGTACGACATGTCCTAACGTGGGATCAAGCAGCAAATCATAGTTTCATATGTAACCATGTCCCTTTAATTCAATAGCAACTTTCATTTGATTCATAGCAAATTTCATTCTATTACAAGCATAGTTAACTGCAAATTTCATTCTATTACAAGCATAGTTAACTGCTCTCATGTCATAGCAGCTTGTTCAAAGGCGCGCCAGGAAGACTATTGGCCGGAATACGAAGGCAAAATTGTTTGGCATAATGACTTGATGCGCAGAAAGAAGAAAGGTCGGCCTACAAGCATATTTAACTCCTCAGGGATCGAACCCAGGCTAATAAGGTGAATGTCGCATTTGGTGACAAAGTGATTACCACTGGAATGACTATACATCCATTGATAAAAGCCACCCCATAAATATATAAGGGGAGTTTAAACATTTAAACCTAATTTTTTTAAGTTTATTAATAATATAAAAGATAATCAAAATATAAAAACATTAAAATGTTTTAAAACTTAAATTAAAATTATAAAAATAATCAAAATAGTTTAATATTCAAAATAAAAAAACCAAAAAAAATTGGAAACCCTAAAAATTAGCCACATTCGCCCATTCATGTGGCGACAACACATTGACCAATTTTCAAATGGCCTAATTCGCCATTCCATTTAAATAATTTGCCAAACCATTTGAGGAATGCTTGCTGGATGAATTTCAAAGTTTGTCATTTTGGTAATTTTTTTAAAAGCTTAAATTAAATTATATAACATTGCTATTTTAAAAAAAAATCGTAATTTAAACATTATCCTTATTGATTTACAAACGTGGAAGTGATTTAAAATAAAATTACATACATATTAATATTAATGACACATCATCTTTTAAGTTGACTGGATTTAATGAGGGAATAGAGAAAAATCTTGAAAGGTCAGGGAGAATCCAGACTTTTTTTATTAAATAAATAATTATGTTACTATACTATAAAAATTATAATATAAATATTCGATCTAAGATATATGTAAATTTCCTCCGATAAATGTTAACTAACATAGTAGTCAAAAATCTTTTCCCTTGAGACCAAAAGATAAATCATAACAGAACATAAACAGATAGAGAGTAATAGAAGAAGATGGACTTGTTGGCACAATCCTGTACAGCCATTGTCACCAACCCAATCTCAGTCTCAAACCACTCTTTAATCACTTCTAAGAAATCCATTTCTTCGAGGTGCGTGGGTCCCACTTTCTGCTCCAATCTTCCACAATACCTAGAGTTTGTACAACCGAAACCGAAACTGAAACCATTTCCTTCACCACCGCCTCAACGTCCTCAACGTTCTCCATCACCAGGTACTCACGTTTTTTTGTGACATAATAAGTTAGTTAAGAAATTGATCATGAATGTTGTTTCATCATCGTGATGACACTATGTTATTTTACTTTCATAATGTTATATTTTGATTTTTTTTGTTCAGTTAGAGAATTGCCAGCTAGGGTTTATGTTCGCCATTCAGTTTACAATGGGAAAGGTGTACTCACTGTGGCCCCCAGACCTCCCAAATTCACTTCATTAAATGTATGTTGATTGATCAAGTTACTTATAATCTATGAAGCACGGACATTCTAAACACGACCCGGCACTGACACTGCAACACCAATAATAATTTTAAAAAATGAATAAATTAAACATAATTACGGTGCAAGTGCCCGACCAAGACACGGACACATCGTTTTTCAATGGTGTCCGTACTAGATAGCTTATAATGTATAGTTTTATGGAATTTGAATATTCTAGTGTTTGATTATGATATTTTTTTTATGTGCTTTTGTAGTCCGGGGCATTCACGATATCCAGACAAGGTTGTGTGCTGCTCAAATTTGTTCCTTCTGCTCTTCCGTTCAAATATGATTGGGGAAAAAAACAGGTGACTTATGGTTCTTCTATTATAACTTGGCGTTGGAGGCATGTCAATAAACAACTTTTTGCTGCTTATAACACAAGTGCTTAACAAAATAAGCGCTTATGAATAAGCTCTATTTATAACAAAAGATAAAATACATTTAGATTGTGTTGCTATGTCATTCCTTTTGTACTATGTTAAAATGTTATTTATTTATGAGATAAATATGTTTGTGGTCTTCCTAAATATCTCAAATTTAGTTTTTAGTCTCTCAAAATATTTTTCTTTAAGAATGGTTCTCCTAAAATTTTTCATCCACACTTTTGGTCTCTCCTGCAACTTAGCGACTGAATTAGCAATGGTTCTAGCTACGGTTTTAATATTAGGGACCAAAAGTGTGGATGAAAAATTTCAAGAGAAACATTATGAAGGTAATATTTTAAGAGGTTAAAAACGAAATTTGAGATATTTAGGAGGACCACAAACATATTTAACCCAATATTTAATATTTATTATGCAGGTATAATTAAATTATGTTTCACAAATTTTTTGGTATGTAATTATTACAAGTCTATGAGTCAGCTTAAGGAAGACTGTACGAGTTTACGTAGTAGACTCTCAAAGTTTAATAACCTGAAATATCATTTATGCAGATCTGAGTTTGTTTTGTGCTTACGTATGATGAAGTTAAGGAATGTCTATTTTTGTTTTTGAATGATCCTTGGATTATCTTTGGTTAAACGCGTTATCAAATAGTTTGTATAGTACATTTTGAAAATAATTTCTGTTATCGAGTTATCTTACTGCTAACAAGTAGCAACTGATAGAATTGTCCGTGAATTTGCTTTTATGTAAGCATTTTTAATTAGTCCCGATCCACAAAGACTATATTAACAAGTCTAGTTTTGTTGCGTACATTGCCTTCTTGTCTCGTTCGGTTCCTCCTACACGTTGGATCTTTTGTGTGCTTTTAAGCCCCATAAGTGATGAGCCTCCCTTGCATCAATAACAAAATTGAAATCTCTAATTTCATTGAAATTTGTGATTCAGTGGAATTTAGTTGCAATTTTATAGTTTAAAACATAATGTAAATCGTCTTTGGTTGTACACAGTTATTTTCGCTGTCAGTGGGAGAAATTGGAATTCTAATCAACCTTGGTGCAAAGGAGACTGGTGAATTTTATCATGACCCTTTTTTGGGAACAAGGTAGTTCTGTGCTCTCCCTACCCTGCTAATTATTGTAATGAATGACCCTTTTATAGATTCATGCATATTAACTGTATTGTTTCACCTAATCAACGTCTCTGCCGTGATTTTATGATTTTATATTTAATATGACCATACATATAGATTCATGCTTATTAACTGAATCGTTTCACGTGCTCAACTGTCTTTGCTGTGATTTTATATCTTAAGGCATTTGGCACATTGTCTTGTTATGCAGTGATGAAGGTAAAGTGGGAAAATATTTGAGGGTGGTGCCACTTCATGACGGTTCTGGCCACATGTTTAACCTAAGTAATATTCTTTCTTCATAAACTTTCGTTAGTTATTTTATAAATTTGATTTTACTTCGTTCCATTGCAAAAACTGTAGTAACTAATATATACTCTTGGATTGATTTTCTAGCTAAACGTTGCAATATTTACTTCAATTCTGACTTTGTTATGTCAATTTTTGAAGGTGTTATAAACAAACCCGCGAACATAAACGAAAACATCTTTATCCCTGTCACAAAAGCTCAGTTTGCAGTTTTCAATTCACTTTTGAGTGTATGATTTCTCTCTTTCTCTTTCTCTCCCCATCTCTGATCTCCCCTACTTTTGTTTTGATTTCAACTGCTTTGTAAATTTACTAAGTTCAAGGGAGATATCACCTAACTTATTTTGAAACAAGCTTATTTTAGAATAGCTTTTTCTGTAGCAGAACTCGTTTTAAGTTATCTGTTATTATACCATAGATTAGTCCATAGTAGAAGCAATCAAATCTATTTCATGCAGTAAATTTTCATGCAAAATATGTGATCAGTTATTAGGTCTATATTTTGTAGTTATTAATAATCATTGTACTCAACTCATTCATCAAAGCCATGTAATGCCTTAAATCGACATTAAATTTTTTGTTTGAGTAAATGCATATTGCCAATTATGCATTCAACTTGATTAATATTGTAATTTTGTTGCTTTTGTACACAGTTTATCACGCCATGCCTTTTAGGTTGGAATGTCTTTGCTAGCTCTATAAAGCCCAAGAAAAGAAGACTCTGAATGGATCTGATAGGGTCATTTCTGCAATATTTTGTTGAAGATTATAGGAAGTTACAAATCAGTCATTGTGTAATTTATGTGTCAAGTTAAATAAGTTAAATTATTTCATTTTGGTAGATTAGAATTGTTGAAGGCATTATGTGATGTTAGTATCATTATTTGAGCACATTTTTAATCCCATTGTTTATTTTTTAAATAAAAAATATATTATTTACTCGTTTTCCTGTTTTGTTTTTTTGTTCTTGCACTTACCCTTTGTTTTTGGGTGTTTTTGGGGGAAGGGCATGCGCTTTCAAGAATTTTTTATTCAAATAACTTTGTTTTTAAAAAATATTTTTAAAATAATCCATCATTGAAAAATAGTCTCAAACTATCCAACTTTTAAACAAAATTTTCTAAAACGCATTGGTGGCGTTTGGCGAATTGACGACTGGATTTATATTTTCAATAGTGATGTTAATTTATATTTTCAATGGCGGTGTTAATTGAATTGACGTCTGTACATGGCATTGCCAATTCAATTGGCGTTAGTGTATATGATTTAAATGGTAGTGTCAATTCATCTGGTGCAAATTTGTATTGTGTTTTTTAGTCTAAACTTGTAGAAGACCCGTGCGTCCGTACGGGTATGAGAAAAAGAATGAAATATAGTATTAAACAGGTTGATAGTTGAATTATATTCAAATGCACATTAAGAGCGGTATTTATGTATGTTTTTTTATTCGAAGAAAGCAAAAAAGGCAAGTGACGTGGAAGCATAAGAAAGCAAAAACGGCAACAAAAAAAAAACATTATCCAATTTTATAATAGTTCAATGTTATGTGTTATTTTTTTCTTAATGTTAAATTGCAAAATTTATAATAAATGAAATAATAAAATTATCTAACATTGTAATATTTTACTGCTACTATAAATATGTATAAAAAAGTTAAAATAAAATAAAATAATAATTTGAAGAGTTAATCACATTACAATTTTCTTCATCTACCATTCTTCGAACCTGAAACCTTTAATTTCATCACAATTTCACAATTAATACAGTTGAATGATAATTTCTTATTATCATATGAACTCCACTTGATATAATATTGAAAGATCTGTTACAGTCATTTTAAATTAATACAATTATAACAATAAATAAAATATTAAATTATACAATTATAATAATAAATAAAATATTAAATTGATGGACGACCTCAAATGCCACACTAACGGGCCAAACAAAAGCAACTGCATGTTTCAATTCATCCTCAGCACCCTACAACCGAATAAAAATTAAACACAATTAGAAAATCATATATAGATGAAGTTGAGGTTTGAGTGATCTGATTCTGCCATGCTTCTGCAGAGCAAATGCAAGGCAACATTACAGTTATCAATATGATCACATAATGTGAATAGATGATCAACAGAGAAAATAAAGGGAATTTGCAAATGAGGGTGGTGCTCGGAATTGTTTCCGACAAATCAACCCCCAACTAACATTAATATATACTTAATAGCTTAGCCAACTTAAGTAATTAACTTAGCCAAGGCTAGCTAGGGTAGAGTTAACACACACATCAAGCGGTAAATTAATAATCAAACGCATTATTACCAAGGTGATGTTGACAGAGCCAAGGACTTTAACAGAAACATTTTCATATGTAAATTTGCAGAGACCATTACTGCCAGTGTAGGAATATTCTTCTTCTGTCTCAAGGCCACCATTGTATTTAATGTATTCAAAGGCTTGTGACGGCAATCCACCGCTCCATCCAAAGTTATTGAAAGCACCAGCACATTCCACTAACTGCTGCTCAGAAAGAGAGATATTCTTTCTGAATGCCTGTGTGTAAGCTGATTCCAACGCTCCAGTTGTGCTGCAGAGGATAGTGTTATGGTTAGAGATATGATAACATGGAACTACACACAAGCCCGTGTGGGTGGAATTTTAAATACATCAAATTAAGAAAGTGAACCAAAGACACTGAACAAAAGAAATAATGTTAAGTTTGCTTGTGCAATTCTAAAATAACAGCTTGCTTATATGACCAGAGGATAGGGTTTCAAGAAGTTAAGATGACAACTCCAGCACTCAGTCTTCAGAATTTTCAAATAAACCTACTCACAAAGATTCTAATAATTCTAAAAAAGTTCCTCACAGTCAGAAAGCAACCTGAATGTCCAGCATGATCCGCAGTGGCCTTGATCTTTAACTTCACCGACTATACCTTCTTTCCTCCAGTCTTTCTGCACACAAGAATAAAAAGAAAACAAATTTATACAAAGCTCCTCCTATAGTAATTGAGGAAAGAAACGTGAAAATTCAGTTGAGTGTCATGAAATTAATGGTAACACATAGGAAGCAATCTCCTTCCATGGTCACACACACACACACTGTTACATCACATGATCAGGCAATACACTCATTCTAATCACAAAAACAACCAAGTTTATCCTAATAAGTGGAATTGACTACACGAATCAAACTCTTATAGTGTTCTATCAAAAATCACAGTTTTATCCATCTCATTAATCTTCATGCACTTATTCCAAAGTGTTATCAAATAGCGGCGCCATGACTGCTATGTCGGATATACATGGCTGTTTGAGTTTGCCATAATTATAATCCGCTATAATGGCGCGGCAAAGCGGCCAATATGGCAGGATTTTGGCTTTCCGTCATGGACCGCTATCTGCCATCGACAACACTGATTCCAATCACAAAATAACCAAAATTTAAATTAATTGGTGTTAGGATTGAAACTAACCCAATAAGCATTTTATATTAATATCAAATACTAGCAACAACTACAATAGACATAATAGAGTTTATATACATCAACATCAACTTCATATTGAAGGTACATCATGCGTCCAAACTATAAATAAGTAGCACCAACACATACACTAATTGATACACATATACTTCTTTGACACATCTATCCCGATAATCATTCGATAAAATACAATAATTGAAACTTATATCAATTCAGTTTCCATATTTATTAAATTCATTCATAGCAATTCATAGAATTGATAGTAGTTGTTGCTGATATACCTCGTCAGGAAGATTAGCATCAGTAATCTTATGGTTACCCTTCAGAGTCGCAGAGCAATTTTGAGCAGCACCAAGTCCATGACTTTTAAACTCCTCCCAAGTCCAATCAGCAAAATCTTCAACTCAAAAATCTCAGTCAAATCCAAACAAAACCTAACTAACAAAAAAAAATGAAAGTCAAAGAAAAAACAATAACACATACGATTAACACCGAGCTTGTAACTGAGTCGTCTCTTATTAGTATACCTGATAAGTTCAAGATTCTCCGAAAAGATCTTAAACCGAAGCTTTATCTCATCAACGCTATCGTATCGCTTACCGTATCTATGACATATTTATTTCATTCCCATTTCAACAATTATATTTATTTTGAAAAATGTAGAACAAAGAATGTAAAAGAGCAGTATCCCAGAGCACACAAACATCGTCGGAGCCGCACTAATCTACAGTGAAAATACCACTCACAGCAGCACAAATCTCTTCCCTCACAGTAACCTTATTACAATGTTATTGAAGAGAATATATAAATAGGATTAACCCAAAGGAACTTGTTGAAACAACTGCCACATATCACAAATCCCAGTGAGACATCCAAAAGAATGTTACTATCATACCACAATTGAATAATTTTCAATATCAAAGAACTGGAACACAACTATAACTTTTGCGTGTCAATAAATTCCTGGTTATGCAAGCCACAGGACACAGCTTGAGAAAGATAGTAAGTATACAATACCTGAACTTGAATTTGTCCATCTTCTTGGTTAAGAATTTGCAGAGACAATGTGCCTTGAACATCAAAACTACCAACTCCTCTATCTCATTTCAGAGTCACATTTAATTTATCCTCAACAGTTAAAGTGACAGGATCGGTAAGGGGTGGGGCAGCTGTCCGAGACTGGCTAAGTCTTGGCTGAAAATCTTCAAGAATGACCTCACCTTCTGCTTTCAATGATTCTAAAAACTGATTTGTCTTTTGAGATCTACCAAGCTTCATACCAAGACCCTTTGGCGGAGCAGCAGCAGACACAGTTGACCGACCTAAGGAAGAGAAAAGGAGGGTACATTAATGAAAAGATAACTCTTAATTCCGAAACATGATAATTTGGACATAGAATAAAGCACAGCCTTGGAGACTGCATGATTTGTTGCCATTCTAAGTAGTTACATTTACAAACATTCTAGATGAATTTGTGAGAATCTAGGAAAACTAACCTTTAGGTTTGGTAGAAAAGGAATCAACATCAGTACTCGATCCAAAACCAGATCCAGTGCTAGATATGCTCAAATCACTGAAGCTATTTTCAATTCTTCCAGAACCCATTGATGATAACAGACCAAACCCTCCTTTATCACCTCTATTCTTTTCAATCTGCACATTAAATGTAATAAGTTCAATTAAATTATGAGCAACTACTTCCAAGATCAATGACCTTCGAATCACATCGGCTATAGCTTTTAACCAAAATATTCTCTGGCTTCAAGTCACAATGTATCAGAAACACTGCAAGGTGTTTCATTTCAGGTACTATCAGAGTGCACCAATCAGCTTGCATAGTTCCATATCATCTGAGTAATCATATTTCTTATTTTTTGAACGCGGGGTAAAAATCATATTGCAGTATCACGAAGAAAACAATGTTAGGTGAAGATACACTATTGTCCAAGTAAAGTGATAGCTTGGTTTTATTTAATGTATTTAAATTAACATTCAGGCTCAGTAGTTGCATATTACCTCAAAAGCCTGGCTGACACTGAAATCCCCTATCTTTACTGTACCATGACGAGTAATCAACAGATTATCAGGCTTGATATCCCCGTGAACTATATTCTGTTTTTCAAATAAAACTATTGTTAAACATTTCAGTAACATGATCAAAAAATAATTCAAAGCATTTTAAGACTAAGTATGAGCATTAAACATAAACAGTATGATGTTTCGCAAGTTGTTTATTAC